AACAATCCACATTGTGTGTGTGTGTGGATGTGTTCTGATTTGTGCACACCTAATGGCCTGTATTTTGACAGTTAATCCATCCATGTTTACGGGGCGCAAGGTTGACAACATTGGGATCCATTTTGGCTTAATCTGATTGGTTGAGTATACCAATGAAAGTCCGTTTCCCCTACTCAAACTCACCGCCAATCAGGAGTTCAAACAAGTCACTACACTAATCAGGGACTAAATTACTAGATAGGTATACCACGCGATAACGGATGTCAATGAAACGACAATGATGCTGTGCGGATTGTTTGTTTACAAATACTGTGATGCCCCTATGTATATCAGTTTTTTATCAATGGTTGAGAACAGAGTAGGAGCTGGGTGGTGGGGGAATGAAGTATGAATTGAAACATCCAAAATGATTTAAAACTAAGTATCCCAAATAGCCTTAATTGAGAAAAGCTGTGAGCAGCCAAGTGCATTACTTGTCTTCGGCTTCTGAATTGCCTTTGACAGTTTTGAATTACCCAAAGATCAACCTCATTGGTTGCACAATGATTCGGAGGAATAAATTTTTCCTTCATTCCGGACATATATATATATTCCACCGGCTTGCGAACAAGCATGGTGCCAGTGCAACATTAATAATAGTGATGACAGGGGATGAGTGGATTTGGATACGGAGCAGAGTGAAAGGAAAGTTGAACTGTTAAAATGGAAAATTGGAGATATCTGGGATAACAAATTTTGTGTGTTTCACAGTACACTTTTTGAAATTTTGTGTGTGTTAGTTTATCGTTCTTTTATGGGGCACGGGACTTCAACAGGCAGACCGTAGAGCATTCGCACCACTGACTTCTATTCTGAGCCATATCTCTCAGCGTCTCTGACCAACAACAATCCTCATCCCTTGGGCTCCAACCTGGAAGGCGGGTTTCACCAACCGAAGCCAGCTTCTTCATACTTCTACACCATGTCATAGTCTGACCGCCGCGGCGCTTATTCCAGCCTTGTCCGACACGTGCAAAAAGAGCACTGAAGGATAGACGACGTGCAGGCATACGCAATAAGTGATCAAGCCATCGGAAGCGGTTTAGAGCGATTACTTTTGTTAGAGAACGACTATCCCCACCTAACACATGACGACGAACCTCGTCATTACTCAAACGAATCTGATTATACACTCTTGTAATTGAGACCCGTAAAGAGACTCAGATACTGCGCTCACACTGCAGATACCCAAGATAGGTAAATATTCGTATCCTGCAAGAAAATTGGAATTTCCCCATTGATTTGACAGAAGAAAGTTGTTCTGTAGGAACATGCCTCGGAAAGCAACAGAAAAGAAAATTTTAATTGGTCGTTCGTTGGTGTACGAATAAAATATTGTCAGGTTTCGCGGTTGCCAAGTTAATCATTACTATGGGATCATGACGAGCCTATAAATGCATTAGAAACATACAGAAGGAATCTTGCTCGATAAGTTTAAAATATTTCGAATCTTAAAAGCTTGAATATTCCCATGATAGCATTGAGAAATCGAGTCCGTGAGCGAACAATTGTTTTCGGATATTCCCATTCATGCTCTTACATATCATATAGTGGAAAAAATTCTTACATAATGATGGTCATTGGCTCATTTTAAGGTCAATATTCGGAGGCAGAGAGTAACTTCCATAGTTTCGTTCCAGTGAAATATAGACGTAATCTATTCCGGTGTATAGTCTTCAGAGCCCGAAAGATTTGTTCAGCAGACACACTGGATGAAGAACTACGCTTCACCTGCCAAACGCTGTAAAACAATGGTTATCCGGAAAAGTTCATCAATAAGAACATTCAGCTTCCTCCGGAGAAGGAAAACTCCATCTGCGTCCCCAAAAAAAGAACTATCCATAAGGATCCCATTTAATTGGGACTCACACATAGAGAGCCTAGTACAATCACTGAAAGCGGCTGTAAAATCCATTTTCCCCGCAGCCAAACTTAGATCAGTGTTCCCTACATCGCCGGTGATGCGAAGGCAAGTGAAAGATAAACTGCCGAAGCTGACCTCATCCATGATAATTTACTCTTTTAAGGGCGTCTGTGGCGCATGTCACATAGGTCTTGCGGTAAGAAGTTTGTCTCAACGCGTTATGGAGCACCACCCGCGATGGTTAAGTCAGGGAAGAACCGGCCCTATCTCAAGCGCGATCGTGAGTCATTTCATCGACACATGGCAAAAGATCGAACCGGAGAACCCTTTCGATGCTGTTTCTAGCATCCCATCAATCGACCAAGGGCTATGACCGAGGTGATCGCCATTCGCTTACTAGGCCCAAACCTGTGCCCAAACAAGACTGATTCAAGAGCTCCCATTGCCTTGGCCGGGTGTGAAAACCAAAGACAGAACGTGAAGTGTCACTTGACCCAAGTGGGAAAATGTCACACCAACTAACACGCACACGCGCACACACATACATACATACACACATACACGTACTCATACACCTCCATTAGTCCCTGACTCAAATTAACGACCTTAAATTGAGCAACTGGCTATTATTATGTAAGTATTTCTCCCCTATATAATATGTAAGAGCATAAAAAGGAATATCCGAAAACAATTGTTCGCCCACCGACTCGTTTTCTTAATGGTATCATGGGAATAAAAGATTATTGGGTTCCCGCTGGATTTCGTTATTGTATCGCAGGATTATTGCTTCTTTGTTGCAGCATTTGATCCGTAAGTTGCATCGGCAACTACATTTAATTTCATTCAGTGTTCCAGGTCTCGATAAATTCTCGGGCCTATATCAACCGAATTCGGTCAAAGAATTTCATTAATCCATCGACTTGTATATGTCGCTTACATTTATGAAGTATGATGAATAAGAATATTATTTGTCCCCTGGATGAAAATTGACATCCTCGGGATGTCGTCATTAAAGAAGTGGTTCCAGGTTTTTACGCAGTGTTTTTTTAGAACTGCTCGCCACTTGTATTGTGAAACACATTACACCTGTCCTCGTCCTCATGTTCACCTTGTTCAGTGAAAAGAGTTCCGTCTCTGTATGCAAGTGGTCGAGTTGTGTGATCAACTTGAATTTCACATCATTTGAGCAATTTTGCTATGTTTGCTGCAGCATTGTTAATGCTTTGTTAATGCATTGTTAATGCAAAACAGGTTGGTTTCCAAGATCTTGAACATCTAGTTTCCAGCTCTCAGATTAAATCTAGCTGATGAAGCAATGGAAATAACTGTAGTGAACAAATGTTTGGTTTCCGTTTATTTTTCAGCAGTATCGTGTTGTCACAGATTATTGTACAGATGTATAAGACATTAGCAGTAGGTGACCATTGTACCCGGTAGATTACTAAGTAGAACATGAAATGAATTGTGAACAGTTCGATCATCCGAGTTAAAGTGAAGCTTGGCAAACCGTTCTTTTTAAAGTTTGCGGTGGATAATCATTGCGTTGATTATTTCTGATTCATTTCGCACCGATACCGCAGTTTTCCTGCTTCCGCACTGTGGATACATTCCCGAACACGTCCAGACGGAGCCGATATAAATTGTGAGAATCGATGATCGCCGCAGAGACACTGATGATGCAATCACACTGGACGAAGACAACTGAGATGAAAGTTGGAATTCTAAATACAGGCGACATTCAGATCATGCACAGATCATTAAACGCACTATTCTATTGCGTTGTAATAACTGGTGCAGATATCTAGGCTGATGTACCAATAACCAGGGTAATACACTTAGACCGGTTTGAGAAGTGGAAGCGACAGAAGAATGAATCAGGGTTGGCTCTGATCGTCAAGGCAGTTGAGAGTGAAATGCTAACAAAATTTTATATGGAAACCATATACTTTTGTTATTAGAGTATTGGTGGAAATATGAGATAAGAAGATAATAATTCCTAAACTGCCGCAAGATGTAGTGGAATGCATAATGAATAGTCGTTTTGACATATCAGTAAGGTATAAATCGACAAGATGCTCAAAAAGAATAAAACAAATCCGGCACCAGTTAAACAAGGGGAGGACCGATAACTCGAGAGCCGAAATTATATCGAAGTCAAACAGATCCACATCCACTCGGGTAATCGTGAGTGAATTGCATGCCGTTCAACACTCCAAATCCTCGGAATCCAATGGCCCTAAACAAATTTGGTGTTTCGAGTGTTTTTTGAACGGATTTCTACTGTTTTACCGAGCTTGACTTGTGTCGGCGAATTTGGGCCGGCGCAAGCATACTGATATCGATCGATGCCACATCGACCAGCGACTAATCACTGCCAGACGAAACGGGGTCACAACCCGTTTGGAACACCGGAACAAAACAGATGTCATCTATCGACCAATAATGAACTATTGGAGTTGTCGTGCCCGTTTCTTCCCGCGGCATATGGAAGAAAGCGAATGAAAATCAGAGAATTCGCGGTCACTAACCGACTCTTAAAATAAATACTCGTTCAGAAGCTTTAGTCCAATACCGCCATTGAAAATACGTACTCTGTTAAATTTGAAAAGTTCACAATCCAAGCACCGAATTCGGTGAAAAACTAAACAACAGGACATGTCACGTACAGTTATAACAATGAGAAAACCGTTATGGTGACAACTCATGTCGGTGTTTAGAAGTTATTTTCACCATAAGAGCAGTTCTGCGTCGGAAATCTAGAATGAATTCGAATAAGGGAGCAATTAAAAACTACTTTTGTTTCAGCATTTTTTGTGCGCACGCAGTCTTAGTTAAGAATACTGATAGCTACAATATCCGGAATTCCGATTAACTCTGTACCGGCTACCACTAGAATCGATATGGAATCCAAATTATCTACAGATTGAAAAGTATTTTGAAACTCTGCTATTTATACGTTGTGCATCAACGACAAGCATTTAGTGCGAACTCCATTGGTCAGAACCGTGTGTATTGATTTCAATTTGAGACGCATACGGTTCAGAACGAGGCCAAAGATCCACAGTTGCATCACGTAACTGCTTCACACACGCACAGCTTAGCGCACACCGACCAAATATTGTGCAGTACCACGCATGCATTTGATACGAATCGGTCCAACGCTGATCCGCTCTGTGGCACACAAGACAAACCTGCATACGCGGTTGGTAGAAAAAAGCATGAGAAACTGCGCATGGTCTTCGATCCGTTTTGTTGGGTGATTTGTATTCACTGTTTTATCAAATAAAATCAACTCACATGTTAGTTTGAGCGCATCACCAAAGTCACCGGATGTTTCCGATTCAATAGCTTCCATCAGGGTTTTTTCGTATTGCTATTTGTGAAGAAGCGATGGAAACGAATCTTGGTTAGTTAGTAAAGCGTTTAAAACATCCTTAAAATAAAATCGAGCTGTAGCCCTGTATTTGACTGGAGAAGTACAACTGATAGAAGGATGAAATATTCAGCAGGTTGTATCATTACATTAGTGAAATAAATTGCGTTCATCTGTCGCTATCTTCTGACCAAAGTAAGCAAAATTATAATGATTATGATAAAATAATAATGACCAATTGTTATCGTAACGGTAACAATTAGTATTATTATAAATAGTTTCCGTGCTCACACAATGTATTAAAATATTTTTCAAGCAGTTCACGGGCAATGCCGAGGCTTATAGAAGTAGGAATAAGCTATGGTATGAAAATTCGACATGATAAATCCACCGCTGATGCGCATCATTAACAGACCAGGTAATACACCAAATGTTTCCAGCGTAACACATACACACATGAGACTGATATTTTGTCATTTTCGACCATATTGAGATGAATTAAAATACACGGGGGTGGGAGGGGACAACAGTGAATCGAAATGAGAACGGAGTCTCAGCAACGAGACACACAGGCGCAGATTACAAAAGTATCACCTCAAATAAGAAAACCCGGAGCAACGGTCGCAGCCTGGTATACAATCTATTGATAACCAAAAGAAAAACATTAAGATAACCCAACCACAAAGGGATCGACCGAGATAGCTCTCTGAACCATCAAGTCAATCCAAACGGAATGGCGCAAAAACTCGGTGGATGATTTATCTGACAGCGGAAATCGTGCATTTTCGGTTGAATATTGACTGCGTAGAATGAAATGGGTGTGATTGTGTGGAGCCCAATTTGGATTAAGGTCCATACACGTCCCCCCCCTCCTCGAACTGATCTCTCTTCTACCCGTTCGGTTNGTTCGGTTATGATGCAGTTAAAATGAATTCACCAGAGATTATGATAGATTAGTTCATTCAGGTGCAAAATCCAAAGGTGTCAAATATGGGGAGTGGAAAATTATGTTGATATAAATTTCACGCACTGAACAACCGTATTTCATACAATAACGGTCCCTTGGTTATTAAACCAGTTCATCTCACTAAACAAAAATCACTCAATTCAAGACGCTAGTTCACTTTTACTGTGATTTCGCAGCGGCGAAGCCAGACAGACAGGCACTGTTCAACTCTGAAATCATTTTTACTCTTATGGAGCTGAGATTGAGATGTACGATCGGTAAATAATTCCTGATCTTTTGGCATCAATTACGATCACACCGGAGATAGTTGCATAGCACAGCAATACTGTCTTCTCTTTGGGTAACTACGCTAAACTAACCGGTGGTTTCTGCACCTCAGGGTTGGTCAAACCGTTTAGATTTCTACAGTTCCTTTGAATCCGATCACAATTCTTGAAGGCCGAACGCCATCGATGTTGGTCAATTTAGTGAAGTGTATCTTTGTTAATGTACGGTTTATTGTTACGTATATCCCATTGATGTACTAAGTAAATAATACAATCAAGCCTAAACTGTTTGTTCTCGGTTCCTTTCATTGTAAAGTTCGTTCCAGGATAATGTGGTTAATCTCTTTCAACCTGATTTTACTTCGCATTGTGCAAAGATTCGACAATTACGCGTTTGCAATGTGTAACAAAATAAACAATACATATGGAGGCACAGTCAGACCGCCAACGTACCTCTTGGTATCGTTTGTTGACCAAGTACAAATGCCACACGCTTCGTTTGCATAGGATGCGGATAAAAACACTTTCATCTGTACCAACTTTTCTGTAATAAAGTGGAAAAAAGAACAAGTTAAACACAAACGTGGCATATTAAATGCACATATGGATAGAAATTTGCACACAAAACGTCATCATCTTCAACGAGCTATAATTAGGAATGAAATTAAACTGAATGAAATCCCTATTTGCGTGTTGAATGGGGAAAATCGAAATAACGGATTAGGCTAACAGTAACCTTTGAGTAGAGATGTGCGCCAGACGATATTGATTTCGACTGACTTTATCTTTATAAACGATCCTCAGTGTAACCGTAGACTCCTGAAGGCCTAGAATTGAGCTTCGGTTTAACTATTGCACATCAGTAATGCTTATCCATCGCCTTTCCACTCAGGACCCAACATAGTGTTAAACAAATGTATTCATGTTTGGGGGGCATAACACACTGTTTGATCTCGTTTCTCATATGTTTCCTTGTTAAACCAACCAGCCCTCATGACTCGTCTCAAAGATCAAAAGAGTATAATAAACTCACAAATCTTTGCTATAAGTTGTGGACCACGTGACCGTAACACAAACGACAGAATGAACCCTGGACTCGTATCTAATCATTATTATTTCTGAATTACCTTTATACTACCTTTGTGATCCGCACAACTTCGTACATTCAAGCATGGATATATATCGTTCAGTAGGAAATTCCCTCAGTATTTAAAATATGAATGTTTCCATTGAGAGTAGTCAACTGGAAAACAGTTGAGCTGTTCCCTGTTATGACCGAGACAGATGCCAAAACAGTTAGGACTGAGGCGCTTCAATTCTACGTGAATTATAGTTCTACGATAATCGATAATTCTAATGAATATGAAAAGGTCGAACGAAATCAAATAGCGTTAGCGTATGGTCCATTGATAGAAAAAGAGGAGTGGTAAAACATTCTTTAAACATAATGAGAATTTGGAGTAACAAACACTGAAGTACAGAAATACTAAAAACGGTTTCCAGTCTAGAAGGGAATCGAAGCGTAGTCCTTTACGGAGGCTAAAACTGATAATTATAAATTATGATTAGACTACTTTAATGGTTTGAGTAGCCCAAATGTCATCAGTTTAAATAATTTTCTAGTCGCTGTTGAACGTATTCACATGCCAATACTCCTAAAACAGTGGATGGACGTACCCGGCTCCTGCATCATATAGATCCTCAACATCCTTGTGTACCAAGTCCATATTCACCACACTCTGGACACCTTGACTGAGAGCCTTCTGAACTTGTTCCTCGCTTAACTCCTCGCGATCAGCTTGGAGCAAAGCGACACACAAATGTTGAAAACAACCACTCAAATCATCCTTGATATCAGACTCCAAAGTGCGAGAGGCATCTTTNGGCATCTTTCCAGGTGGTTTGATATTTTCACACGGGTAGTTTGAATAAATGAACGAAAAAAAGAGAAGGACAATATTTTTTTGTGAACAGAAATTTTACCGATGAATGCATTGTCACTCACGTCAAAACAATCTGTCTGAATGGATGCATGATTACGAAACCCTGCTATTCGTGCTCCCAATTTAAAATTTTAGCTAGATTTTATCGTCAGGAGTAGTCTGAACCTCACTAAACACCGAATAACTGCATATTTTTGAGCACATCGTTGGACAGCCTATGGGTTAAGGGCGAATGAATGACACTGTACGAACAACCTACGTTTCACACTAGTCATTTAACCCCGAGGATGAAAACCGCAAATACAAAGCCACGAATATTCGAATTCAGTTTTCAAAACGGTTTCGCGGAGTTGGTTCTTTTCAAACCTGTCGCAATCAGATTTATTTCACTCATCAGTTTTTTCCTAGATGACAAAGCAAATTTTGCATAAATCTAGGGTTCGTGTGTAAAGAAAACGAAATACGATTAGGTTGGGCAAAACCGTTTTTACAAGGTTTACAAGGTTCAACTTTGGGCCAACAAAACGAGCATATCATGATTTATGATAGATGAAAACAAACGACCAAAATGCTCCACCTGAAATACTTGAGTGTTTATGTTTTGTTTCGGTAAAGTCAATTGCCACGCATTTCCACAGATTCCAGCCTGTTTAAAAGATAGCCTTTCACGATTGACCGCCTCCATTGTGATTTATTTACTAAAATTCATTTTTGCTACAGCAGTGCGGTTAATTATGTGGATAGATAAGAAACACTACAGGACAACAAGACACATGAACTGTAGAAATTGTCATGTTTTCTCAATCGTCGGAAACATACCATCGGTGAAGACCAATTTCCGCAAACGGAGCAATCTATCTTGTGTTCCCCATTCCTCCAAGGTAGTTGTTCATCTGTTCAAAACCGACACCGTTGTGATAATCCTTCACCCTTTTGAGCATAATGCAACACAGCATTCTGTGTTGTTACCGGGCAGACTGTTTTTCAGATTACGGTTTATGACAAACAAAGGACTTTTCACACTGTTTCGTATAAAGTTTGTACCAATCTGGGTTGGAAATTTCATCAATGTGGTAAACGAAATGACTTTTCCATTTTGCCTACTCGCGAGTAGCATAAAGATGCATGTACCTTCACATTTGTATTCTCCGTTGACATTTGAGCAAACCTCATCTTATCGAAAAGAAACTGATGAGACCCAACTGGGTCGAAACAGCTGGCCAATGTTCCCCGCTTTTCAATACCCACCTAATTTGTTCTTTGCATAAAGAAATTCACCACATGAGCAAATAAAATCCTCTGTTTTTCTTATAAAAGATGAGACGTCTTCAAGAATAAATCCACAACATTGACTGCAGAAATTCAGTCCCGGTTTGTCGGAATTCGAGAGGCATGAGGAGTAGAGTTTCTTTAGATATTTCTGCGGGGGTGTTAGAACCAATATACAGAACGTGTTGGAGTGCCAGAGCATTACGTGGATATTAACCACGTATGGGATGATTGCGATCAGAAAGGATTTTCTATGCAATTTGTTCGCATGCGGAAAAGTGTAGTTCGCACAGTTTTGAAGATAGATCAACAAGGGGTAAAAAGAGGCACACAGTTGATAATGGATAATACGCCAGGAAGACAGATAAACGAAAGGCGAAATTAGTTCTATTCTGACATTGAACTGTCTGAGTCTAGAAAATTTTTAAATTGGTCCTCTAATGTTATTTATTCGAGTAAAATCATAAGAAGACTAACTGCAGAATGTTTAACATAATCTACTCGGGTCAAAGGTCTTGTGTTTGTGAAGGATGGGTTATTCGAAGAACAGGATCGAATATCGGTTAAACCAAAACATATATTTACATTGAGGGATAGTTCAAATTTATTGGCAAAAATTATGAATATAGGACAGATGGCTCAAGAAATTTTGAATCTTTACACGCATATATGGCCTGTTAAGGGATACACCGTCAGCATATACAAATAAATGGCAGCGGGATCTCGTTGGTATATCATTGCAATACGAGGAAAACAAGAAGGATGAGGGAATCGCTCCCGATTGGTTTGAAGTTTTTCGAACCCTGATCGAGTATGTTGAGTTCCGTTTACAAATTAGTCAAAACTAGCCACCCCAGTAGGTGATTAACACAGCCAAATTTTTCTATTTTACCTTGCAGAAGGATACGTGGAACAGAGTCAACGGTGGATGTGAAATCAAAGAAAGCACATTCTGCCTCTTTCGCAGGTGCGTTTAGGGATGCAAATATATGACGAACTAGGGACTGATTTATTTTTTATGTCAAAAACAACGAAGTCTTTGGGAGCGACGATGACGCTTTTAGCTGGAAGGTTGAATTTGTAGGGTTTAATAATGGTGAAAATTGTGACCGATCTGCAGCAGTTAGAGATAGAATACGGTGAAAATTGGATGTTTGGCTGAGAAGTAAATGGACCCATCAAAACCTCAGCTCCGTGCTTCAGAAGTGATGACGATAGACCTTGGGGACCGATTCCTGTGACTAGTTTAATTGTATTAAGAAAACTAAGGAATTATACTATGAGGTTCCGCAGGTGGCATCTTCGGGAACCCTGGAAACTGGAGAATCATCGCTTGAAACCCCGTGACATCGGGTTTGGGTGCATTTCAAAATGCTGGTTTTGTACCCTATCCTGTTGGGGCTCACATCAGTTAATTACATGTTACTCCCCTTTTAAGACATCTTAAATATGTTGGTAGCAATGCCATCTCTGTCTGCATATCTAACCAATCGGAACCAGCGACATGCAACAGAAACTTATCCCGTCTCGTTACTTATTCCACGTTATTCGGTCTTACACTTCAACCCAGAAAAATGCCTTTGTATGTGTTTATACCTTAACCCCTTCCCCATCTCCCTCCAATAATGTACAGGTTCAGGAAAAGCCGTTGAGCACGGGCAGCCATGTAAAGTGCTTAGGTGTACCACTTGAAATTAACGTTTGCTGACCCTTACATAGAAAAACGGTTGCTTGCGCATTGAAAGTTGTCTCCTTTTAGATAAGAAGATAGCGCCCCTTCGGTTTCAAATTGTAGATGCTAGGAGCTTTTGTCCAACAATGTGTTTTCCCTGTATCCCTTCATGCTCTCCTGGGATGTTCTTTGGTTTGCTGAAGGTTGACTTTAAGCTACTAGTGCGAGGCCTCACAATGACCAGCCGTGTTTCCCAAGTTTCTCTGTCTGTTATGATTAAAAATATCTGTGATGGTCATAGAAATACATGCCTGAAGTTTGCTGGCCTATTTGTATGTGATCGAAACCATCTTTTACAAATAAACCTGTGTGCATGTAAATCCTATCCACCCACCTTTTCCAAATGCAAACTTATCCCATCCCGGATATCTACATCCAGAATTTCCTTTATGCCCTATCTTTTTCGGACATTGACTGACCAGGATAGTGTTGGTTCGAAGTTTTCTAGTGCATTTATCAGTTATTTCAAATTTCCTAGCGCTCAACGGCCCGCTTTTTTTCTTTTTAGCTATTGATGTGTTAAAAGGTTTCTGTTTTCGGCTGAAAGTTTGTATCGAACTTGCTAATGCTTCAAAACAAATAAGAAATGTCTAAATGTGTGGTTTGCGGTTTGAACGCATACACAGAGGGAGAATGGCTCGTTGGTCTTAGTTTCGTTGCACAGAAAGTCCGTAAACATTTTCGTAGGTGTCTGCTCTTGTGGCTGCTCAGGGGTTGGAAGCCATAATACTAATCGATTTGTTTCATGTTCCCTTTTATCAACGCGGAAGTGTTCGTAACCAGTGATGAATCCCAGGCTGGGCATCTGCTTACCGAATTTCGTTTGAAGGAGACGATATTAAAGTCGGAGAGAAACAGACAGGCCGATCGGCATCACATTATGAAAAATGGAAATGATTGTATCGGAAAAACGTTTTCATCAGACCTTACCATGCACGCCCTCGGAGGTCAAAACTGCAAACGAAAACAGGGTATAAAAAACAGATTAGATTTGAGATGGGGTAAATTTAATTACTGTGATATTTTATACTTCAATGGGCAAAAAACTGAAACCGGAATACTGTGATTTACTCCATCATGTCAGTATGATTTATTTACTATAAAACTGGTGATCCCGTTGCAGTTGGTCATCACCTGGAAATATGTTGTACTAGGGTATCTTGTAGCTAGAGTCCGATAAACAATTACGCTAAATTAGAAAAGCTTCATTTGAGGGGTCAGAAAATCTGATGTATGGTCGTGATCCGGTCTGTTTCTTATTGGGGCCGTTTACTCTCTCTCTCTCTATGACATTTCAGTTGTATAAGGCAACTTATGGACGAGCACGGTCAAATATGTGCAATGATCTAGTTGACATTTGAATATTTATTCACGGCCCGCCAAAATCCAAGTATCGATTGGTATTCCGACGCTACAAAGTAATACTCTATTACACATGCACACGCGGACGCATACATGAATATCGCCGTATGCGGTACACGGTGAACTCGTTTTCCCGTTAAGCATGTGATCTTCAACAGAATTTCCCCTTGAAGAAAAACGGAACTGCACGTGACGTATTGTTCTTTCCAGCTTGCGCTTCATTCAGACTTTGCATTATTACAATGCTTTGAAAACAAAACCTTGGCATTTCGTCTACAGCGGTTCATTTCAAGCAGATTTCGCATTTTTAGAACTTGAAGAATAACGATGTTCTCCTTCTACCCATTCACTTCTATATGCTCCACCTTAGCGACCTTTGTTCTCCTGTTCCCGTTGCCTGCATCTGAATTCTCCGTTCACATCAGTCACTTATTGTTCAGATTGTTTCAGTATTCTGATCCAAAAGCCCAGAGGTGTTGTGTGTTCGGTGATAAACGATTTCCGATCATTAATGGAAATAGTGCTGACTAGATAATACAATACTGATGTTGTAGTTCCTAAGCATGGTTGTCTACAGTAATTCCATGCTGTTTAAGGAAGAGGGAAATGTTAGCGAAGTTTGTGCCTGGATCTCAATCTGTTTTCCAACCTAATCTCGATAGTAGCAGTGGTTTCGTTTTAGCTTTACGTGTTTGCTGCTCATATTCGACATTTTTTTAATTGACTTAGAATTCTGATATCAATCGAACCATCATTCCCTAAAGTTTACCTTTGAATTTAAATTTGAACGAAGCAAAAGTTATGGAAACCATGGCGTATAAGCCTGTTTTGTTGCATAACACAAGGCTAAATACAATCCCTTTTATCAGCAGTTCTAATGCGGGACCAGACGATCCATAAAGTGTTGATGCAGAGAGAGGAGTACAATACTACCATCAAGTTTGTCACATCTCGTGGGAGTCGTCTGAGACTCATCTGACACATCGGAATGACAGCCCATTGTGTCGGGTTCGAATCTCAGTGCAGGTTTTTTTCGATACGCACTACGGACGGTCCATAAAACATCGGATGATATGGCTGCACAGTGCTCCCAAGGTTTTCCAGTCGTGTGTAATTTGCGTATGACTAACGCTGTTTCACAACTACTCAGACGTTCAAAATATTTATATTCCTCTTTGTTTGTATTGTTTGAATAATGCCACGATATAGACTACTTTTCAGTGTTCTGACAAGCAGTATATACCGGTCGGTCTGCCTCGCGTGATTTTTTACCGATACCTAGAGGGTTGACTGCGATAAATTTCTGTCAGCTTTGCCGTGAACTTCGGATTTCTGTCCTGGTATTCTGGTGAAAGGCTAAAGAATAGGAAACGGATCCGCCAACAATGCTCGTATTCGACTGGGCTCTACTTTGTATAGGGTTTAATCATCTTTGTTACTTGTCTAACCCCACATTTTGACTACTAGTTATAAAACAGAAAAATAAACCTTACTTGCCACACCAGTCGGATATGTTTAAATAGTTAGTAATCTTATACCAAAATGGGTCTTCAATATACTGGTTCATTTTAAACTGCAAGGGTTTTGATGAAAGTAGTCAAACTGTTACGTTCTCATCCCGTACCAAATTATTATTGATTTACATTTACTAAAAATGATTAACCCATTTTCTCCGTGCTGCACTCATTCATCTGACAAATAGCAAGAGGTTGACAACAAAAACCCAAAAACAATCCCCGATCGATTTTTCTTTTTCATAAATGTATGTGTGTGGCTATCTTGGTAACCTACCTTGTAAATATGCCTCCTTGATTGCCTCAATTTCCCGATTGGTCGACGTGCACAAAACCTCGACGATGACCGACTCTTTGGTTCCACCGCCCTTCATGGCTTTGTACAGAGCTCGTGCCGAGATAAATTGCGGTTCCATTACGAGCATTTTCATGATGCTGCGGAAATTCCCGCTCAGTTCACTGTTTAACCTGTCCATCAAATCCTGCATTCAAACAGAGGGAGCGGAAATAATTTAAAATACATTTACGCTTCTTTATTTAAAAGGGCGAATGGTCAACAGTATAGCTGTCAACCAGGTGATTTGTGGTCATCTCGTTTGGTGGTCATGCACCTAACTCACAAACCGATGCAGTGTTTATCTAACACCCCACTCCCCCTCGACCCCACACTCAATAATAAATTGATCAGAATGAACAAACTTTTGTAGGAGATTATGATACAAATGAACACGGTGTCTCTCTGCCAACTTCACTGTCACATGTTACACACCCAATGTGTTCCGATAGACGTGAATTAATCGATCGAGGTGATTGACGCAAGTTCCATTGATTACGTGATATACGTGGCTGAACTCTGACCGTGGGAAGATCACGAGACTCGGTGAGGCTCAAATCCCATGTATGGACGCAGCCTAGACCCCTGTCCAGTTTAGACTCCATCAGTCGAGCCTGGTGTCGATGTGGGTTCTTTAGATAAACAACCGCAAAAAGATAAAAACGTTAGATGTAGACACATAGCACAACCAATGTTGTGTATGCTGTACATAAGTGTGATTTCAACTTCTAATAAAAATCGATGAAAATTTGATTCACCTTAAGACTAATTGCACTTCTAAGTTACACGTTTATTGCAACAATGAATAACTGAAACTGGGGCAAACTTTAGTCTGACACTGCTCAACAGTGCGTGATTGTTTGGATGAACTGAAGATCGTGCGTGCGTAAAACGTCTACATGTTGGTCGGTCAAAATTATCATCCTTCGTCTTACACCACTACTCACAGGTGATTGCAACAGGTTAAAGATGCTGGATTCAGTGGGTATATTTTGTTTTTCATTTTTCATATATGAGAGTTTGAGAGGTGAGGTGACTGTTTCATAATAATAAAAACAGATCCCTGTGGGACTTATCCCCAGTGCCTGGTAACTTCTTATCCTTGTTGGAACTCAAACCCTGAACTTTGGTGTTTTGACTATGGTCGAAGCCAGGCTCAAACTTCCGTTAATCTTCGATACAGGACTCGAGGTGCATGCGTTATCCACGTGGCCAGGACGAGAGTGACGAACATGATGACAAATAAAACACGTTCGACAACTCAGTCACGTACGCGTAAGTAGCCACCCCGAGTCACCCCAACAGAAACAAGTGCGCATGTGTGTAAACGGCCCTACGAATCACGGCTATGCAGTCCGTATTCAAAGCGTTGGGTTCTAACCAGAACGGCTGCATACAAAAGAACGAAGTGAGAATCCACCGGCATGAGAACCACTAGCTGAACCGATTGGCAAACAGGCATCGTATTTCGTGTGTGTGTTTGTGTGTGTGTGTGTGTACCTCGACCATCCCGACTGAAACCCAGTCCATTCCAAGTTTTGATCATGATAATGGATTCTTCGACCAGGAGTTGGAACGCATCGTTTATGATCACTGTGCTTTTGAGTACCTAACCGACAGGTAGAAAGCTGATCGAGCCTAGACAACTTACAGATAGACAGCTCTCTTCTGACCTCCTACCTAAACACTAAACACATTCCACAACAATCGATCATTGTACAGAACTATCCAAAGTCAATTAGGTAGAAAACGTTTTCCTTTATTTTTCAGAATTATATTGTGAAAGTGAAGAAGAAGTCTGTTTTTCTGTTTTTCAAACAGGATTCAATGCTTCAGAACAAATACCAATTCTCATGCTGATACTGTTTTAGTCAACTGTCTATTTATGTGTTGCAGTCTGAAATTGAATTAACCAGGCAAGAAAATAGTTCTTGGTAATCAGAAACTCCCTGTCAATCGTAAATAAACCACTGCAATTTTGATCATCAGTTCAATCAGGAGCTAGCCCCACCATTTCACGTTGAAAAAATTGGAATTCGCGAGATCCATTGGAATTCGCGAGATCCATTGAAATTTGGTATTGTGTTTTTGGCTTTAATCTCCCAAGAGTGACGATTTCCCGGTTACATCACACTCAAAATCAATTTGCTTTATTGGTAGTCACTATGTGATACGAATCAGTTGATCTACCTGAGTTCAGAAACCAGCTTGGATTTGTGGTTGCATAACTCTCATACTGTAACATGCAGCACAGAACTAGAATAACCGGGACTGAATCGTCAAATTATTGAATCAACGCTCGTTTTCTTGATGAACAAGAGCACAATATCATTCAAACACCTGGTGAGCGATTTCGATACGGAAAAAAAATTTCACGAAATTGGCACATTTCCATAGTACCAACCGATAATCAATCCCGGTTGTAATAATCAGACTAATTTGGTAGCCGAAGACTCTGTCCTTTAGTGTAGCAAAGGGACGATGCACTTGTAATGTTCATAAAACTGCGGTTCGATTTACCCCAATTTGAAGAGAATTGTGATCGAGCCGGTTATTGAATTCGGTTAATATGCAAACGTTTAAACTAAATGGATCTGATGAAACCATCGCTCATTGCATTTTCTCACGAAGTGCTTGGTCTTCGTGGCTTATTGCTCGCTCCGAGAGAAAGTTTACACAAATGGCTTAAACTGTTTTTGTCCCACTTGCTTCTGTTTCCTGATACTAAATGTGTTGGTGTCACGAATCATCAGTCTTTATCATGAATTTCGATACATTAAATTCCTTAGTACAATGCGCCTAGATCCATCCAAGTTAATGAGGTATATGTAGTAGCTCACAGAATGTCAGATTAATCACTTAATCACTGATCCATCGGCATTTCTCTCAGCAGCTTTTTCCCTCAATACGGCTTTCAGAATATTTAATATATTTATGGATAAATTAGTTTTATTTTGGATCCACCAACACTGCCAGAACAGAATGTACCGATGACATGTGCATGTGTTCATTCACACAGTGAAGTTCATTATCTCTGAAACAAAAGTGGTTCGAAACTGAGAAGAGAAAAACCACCAAATCCCAGCCATATGGCAGTCTTCACTCAGTAAGCCCAAACCGACCCACTCGGAAATCGAACCGGGGATTTGAAAAGACAATTACCTCTAGCATGGCATATCTCATTTCTGAAATCTGATCGCAAGCCGCTGATCACATGCACACGAATATCGTTCGGATAGTACACGATTACAATACCGCATTCAGGAGTGATGCGAATACTGAAACAAAAGTTGCTTCTGGCTCGATAGCGAGACAAACGTTCTCCACGGATCTTAGAAACTTATCGAAAGTGTCATAATCATCCATGTTTTGACCATTATAACCATGGGTGACCGGTTCTGATAATGTGAGAGAAAACTTGAATAAGCCAAGCACCTCTCTTTTCAGTCCTTATCGCAAGCTGCAAAGTTGAACATATGTCTAATTGTTACGTTATTTCTATCGATCGTATGATTATTGTCATTTGAAACACGGGGTTGCATCAAAACGTGTTTCATACGCCCTCTGTTGCATGAGTCGACCTACTGATGAAGTTTTATCTACCTAGAAAACCCATTCCGTGCCATCGGTTGCCATCA